AAACCAATTCTGGTTTTTCAAGACTGTAAACTAATCCTGGCTTCTGGTCTTATTTGCCTTTTCAGCTTGCTTGTCTAAAATTGCTTGGTAGCCCCCAGTGTTCTATATGATAGCACAGTTCTGAGCTGGAAGCTCTTCTTTTGCAGCAGTGAGAAACTGAGGACAATGGATTTGAGCTAATATAGAAAATAAGCATGAAGGAAAAAACTTACAGCATTATACCCAGTCTGTAAGATCATTTCACCACTTTGATTAAGTGTAGATTCAGGCATTTTACTGGAAACCCGCAATTCTTTGTTCACAGACGGAGCAGTGAACGACATTTTGTATTCGCTTTCACCTTCAAATTGACCTGCAAAACTTCCTAGTCAATGACGTACACGGTGAGTTAAGAACAACGGAGGCTCGGTGGCTTTGTTTGGTTGCATACACGAAAACGCATTCTTTTGCGGATGACGACAGTGGAGGGGATGGATTTCGTTGTAATTTTTCATGTGGTGAATTTTCTGGAGAAAATTTTGATTCAGAACAAAATTTACTCCTTAAGCGAGATTTTATTCTGAATCGAAACCTACTCCTTGCACATCCCCTCACCAGCAAACACAGAATTTTCAGCTTACTAAACTCTTTAGCACATAGAATAGACAGACCACTTGGAAGTTTGTATTCCTGTTCACGACGAATGATATAACGAACATCTTCTGGTCGCATTCCTTCGTAAAATGTTTCTGTATATGCTGTACTCCATCGATTTCCTCCAGTTTCATCATGATTTTGTTGGTCCTGGAAAAAAAAGCACACAAGTTGCGCACTCTTTCATAAAATCCGAAAACGTCCGGTTTTTTAACGTCATAAGAAATTGTCAAAAGCAATATACCTTCCAAAACTCAAAACTTTTTGGTTTCACAACTTCTCTCCGTTCCCCTGTTTTTGACGTAAATTCAGTTTGTGATTGTGTCTGTGCTCGGAATGAGCCGTCTCCTTGCAAAAAGTTTGAATCCTGCGGCTTCTTAGTTGCATATCTTTCGCCCTTTTTGGGACTAAATTCCTGCCGGCTAACTGTTTCGATTTCCAACTTCCCATCGCGCTAAAAAAAAAAGGATGCTTGAAACCAGAGGCCAAAAATTATGTTCTAAGAACTCAGTAGTGCCTATGACTTCAAAAAAACTTTTAAAACCTAGTCGAAAGCGTACCGGCTGCCGGTATAAGGATGTGTTTTTTGCACAGTTCCTCCACAGGTTTTTTTCGCCAGTGGCACGTCCTTTCCCGGCAGATGCTTCCGGCTAAAAGAACTGGGACTGGCCACCAGACCGTTAGAAATTATTACAGTGACTCCCAATCCATGTCCAAAAAATTCAGCGCTCTAGATGCTTCGGTTGCGGAGTCACGTCAAATTTCACATGTTCATGCGTGAGTGACGACGTGAATGATTTCTTTGCCTGCGGTTGCTCGAACGCGGTCATGGGCAGCGCTCAGAAACTTTCAGCACTCAATTCGCTCTGCTTGCAGAGTTGCGTCAAATTTCACGTGTTCGTACGTGAGTTGCAACATAAATGGTTACTTCGCTTGCGTTTGCCCAAACACGGCTTCAGGTAACGCTCAGAAAGTTTCAGCGCTCCAGCCACTCCAGTTGCAGAGTTACGTTAAATTTCACCTATTCGTACGTGAGTAGCAACATGAATGCTTTCTTCGACCGTGGTTGCCCAAACACGGCCCTGGTCGACGCCCAGAAAGTTTCAGCATTCCAGCTGCTCTGATTGCGGAGTTACGTCAAACTTCACGTG